TCTTCTGTCTGGGACCATCAGCAGCCAGTGTGTGTTGTCTGTCAGAGACTAAAGAACAACCACCAACCCAAGGATTCCAGACCCCTTGATGAAAGCTGCACAGGAATACAAGAGAAGCTCAGGAAATCCCTGAAGCCCTACCAGGAGAAACTGGAGCCTTTAATCAAGTTAAAGTTAACTGGGATCAAACAGCAGGACAATTAAGGTTCCAGGCTCAAAACACAGAGAGGCAGGTTAAAGATGAGTTTAAGAACTTCACCAACTTTTACTAGAAGAAGAAAAGGAGGCCAGGGATCACTGCACTGAGAGACGAAAGAGGCACAGAGAAGAGCAGCTGATCAAAGCAGAGGATTGTGGCTCTGAGTAAAGAGATACATGCTCTCTTAACACAGTTAAGAGCCACAGTGAAGGAAGTGTCTTTATTCCTGCAGACTACAAGACTGCAGTGAAAAGATCCAGCAAACCTCTGCGTGGATGATCCACAGCTACCTCAGAGCTTTGATAGAATGTGCCAAACACCTGGGCAACCTGACTACAACATCTGGAACAAGGTTGAAGGAACATGGTTCCTACACTCCCTGTGATTCCTGGAGTCTCTTTGTGTCTCAAGGTCTGAAAGTGTGAAGATTCGGAGAGAGAGAATACACAGCTTTCAGAGGAACCCAGAAGATTGAAGATACAATCAAGAGTCCCCGGGCATCTGAGGGAACTCACAGCTGGATGTTGACGTTTAAGAATTAATGCAAACTGGGCATGAGTGTAGCAGCCAGAGTCTGTTTCTAAGCGAAGGGAGAGGTTCTGACTGGGTGCGCTTTAGTTTCTCTGAGTGCAGACGGCAGGAGCCTCAGACCTTGCAGCTCAGACCTCAGATATGCAAAATCAAAAATGTTGATTTTGTCATGTGTATGTGTCCTGAATTTTGGGTTTCCACCTCTAACAGAAAACTGTTAGATTAATGTTAACTTTTCCTTAACATTAATGGATTAAAAGCCCCCATGACAATAGTTATTGAGATACATGATCATTGCTCATTGACTTTCCTCACACACCAGGATTTATTTGCACGCAGGATTTAAACTACCTTTCACTCAATAGCTCATTTCTGCAACCTGTAGACCACAGACTATGTTTACTGTATAAACATAACTGAGCCCTCCAGTATGCGGCTGTCATTCTCAGATGAAGGGGAACTCCAAAAGTTCATCCACATTGCAGCCGAGGCTATCTGCTGCTATGCTGCGTGTTGTGTTTATGTAATTGCTGATCAGTGGCCATGTGAACCTGGCTTCTCACCCTCTCTGTCTTTAAATGACTGCTCCTATAAAAAGCCGGCTGACCCCACAGCGACTCTGACCTGCCAGGCAGCCTCTTGACATCCAGCAGCAGCTGAAGCAGTCCGTGTATACACATAACCAACGCCTGCCATCGCCTGACCTTTTACTCCACTGCACACACTGTATCCCCCACGCCACACACACACATTCAAACACCTCAGAAGAATCTTATATCAGCCTAATCGTCTGTATCTCGGCTCTGATATCACAATTCACAGCTTGTGAGTGCTAGCGCCTGCTGAAGTGCTCAGTTGCAAACTTTACAATCACTTCATGTCTTCCTTTTTATGCATGTTGGTTGAAACATTTGTAGATTCGTTGTTGTTGTTGTTGTTGTTGTTGCCTAAATTTCCTGTAGGCTAGATGTTAAACTGTCAGATTGAGACTGTGCCGCCAATCCAGGTTAGATGAATGGAGGCACTATGGAGGCAAGTGTTTAAAATAACTAAAATAAATAATCATACAAATAAATACAGACACAATATGAACAATGAAATTCTAAAATAATATTTTAGAAAGTTTGCTGCAAGTAATTTTTTTTAATTTTTACGTAATGCCACTTTTCACCATACAGTCTTTATGTGTCAGTGAAGACAAAGAGGGCGGAGCCATTTTGTCCATATGTATTCATATGTATCGAAATGTAGTATTTATTTACCTAATTTTAAACATTTTATTGTGAAATAACTTTTTCACTACACTGTTAAAATGAAATAGAAATGACTTGAAATATACATTTTTATTGTGAAAACAGGCAGGGTGAAATACATTTTTATAATAATGAGCTGGATTATTTTACAATTTCATGGCTATGGTATATATTTTGTCTGCATTTATTCATAGGATTATTGACTTTATAACACCTTTGAATTAATTTAACATTTTTCAAGCTGCAGTAGGAAATTTCAAAAAAATTTACTTCTTGTCATATTTGATGAAAAATCAGGTTCCTCTGGCTCCTCCTAGTGCTCAACATTTACAATAATCCGTCACATGTACTGCTGTCAGGATAAAGTTGGTCCATAAATATGATAAAAAGGTATTTTTATAAAAGTTACCTCCTGGAGCTGTAACACTCCATAGATTCACACTGACACTGTGATATAGAGCTCATACTAGACTATTATAATAAGCAACGCAAATTAATCCTGTAAGTGCATGGGAGGAACAAATATGAACACACAGCAGAGCTTGTGCCATAGCCCTAGCAGGAGTAGTGATATTGGTGTCCTGTTGTGTGCTAAGACTTCATAAGAGGCAGGAATGAAAAGAAACACTTCTTTCAAACACAGGGTTAGGCTACATTTTTGCCCTATGGTCACAGTGGAATGGCACTTGATGCTAACAGGGCAGTCTGACAGTTGGAGGGGAAAGGTACTTGGGATGCTCAAGTCTTATACTCTTGTGTGACATTAAGTAAGCCTTGACAACAAAACAACAGCAAAATACACCTTATCAATAGCAATAAGAAAACTGAAATGCATTAAATGCAAACTGCCATAAAAGCACATAATGAATACATCCTGGCTCACTGACAGCCTATCATATCCCTTGGTAATGTAGTGTGCTATTCGTAAATCACCACACCCTTTGAAGTATGCAACATGTTGTCAGTCCACCATGACCACCATCTGTTACATTTCAAGAAACAATCCAGTCCATGATGGAGAGGTATTCAGCAACAATACCGTATGACAACATCTTTGAGTTGTGTGAGTTGATAAATAAAATGCATTAATTCAGCCTTTTCTAAAAATAGGTAATCTAATGAAACATCCAGCCAGCCCATCCCAGTGTTATATTAAAGCATTTCAAAATAAAAGGTGCCCCCTCAACATCCTCCCTGTGTGCACACAAATCAATCAATCAATCAATATCACTTTCTCTTTCTTTTTTTTTCCATTTGCCTCTGTTGCTTCTTCCCTGGTTTTGTTCAAGTACAATTTTGAATCCAGTTACAAATAACACAAAATATAATGTGGTATTTGTAAGTAAGTAAATGACCATTTTTTCTACTGAGGATTACTAGAAGCAGCAGAGAATGTTTCTGTCAACTGCTGTTTTCAAGCTCAAGAAGTGTCTCAAATAATAGTAATATGCAGGGGTGTAGCGTAAAATTCTGGACCCTGTACAAGGGCGCAACTATGGGCCCCTCCCCACATCCACGGCTTTTAATTCTAATATATATTATATTATATATATATAATATATTTGTGGGCCCTCCTCATGTAAGGGCCCTGTATACTCGATCATATACTATTGTAATTGTTTTTACACTATTACTGTTCATGCAGTTACCGTCTTGGTTATCAAAAGTTCAAATTACAAATCAAGAATGTGCAGAAATTAGCTGTGATCCCTTACACATTGTATTTAGATTGATGATTGAAGGTTGTTGGTTCGATCCCCGGCTCCTCCTGGCACGTGTCCGAAGTATTCCTTGAGCAAGATACTGAACCCCAAAATTGCTCCTGATGCATAGCATCAGTGTGTGAATGTGTATAAATGAGTTAGTTTCTGTTCGATGGACTTTGCCATCGCAGTGTGAATGTGTGTGAAAGGGTGAATGTGGCACGTAGTGTAAAAGCGCTTTGAGTGGTCGGAAGACTAGAAAGGCGCTATACAAGTACAGGTCCATTTACCATTTACCATGAATGCATGAAAGTAGCTATTAAAATGAAAACAAATTAATTAAAATTTAAACTACCAACCACACGTCAATCTAACACAATGTGGCACATTATCACTTAATCCACTCAAACCTGATACAAACTGTTAAATGGTCAGAGGTACTCACCTTTCCAGGTAGGCTGCCGTTCATCTGTGCTCCACCACGAAGCTCATGGTGGTGCCATCAAATGAGGGCGGGGCGATGATCCGGGGTCCCTGTTGGGAGGTAATGCTGATAACCGGCTGCTTGACGCTGGAGAAGCCCTGCATTGGCCTGTTGGCAGCAGCCTGCTGTTGAATCCCGGAGGCCTGGGGAGACTTCCCAGTGGCCATGTAGAAGGGACTCTCCATGTACATGCCCTCGGCCTGCTGCGACGAGGCTTTCTCCATGCTCTCGGCCTCTGACTGCATCGACATCTGTGACTGCACCAGCGTTCTAGCCGGGATCACGGATGGTGTTGGCATGAAGCCCGGGTAGAACATGTAGGTGTGTCCATATGCTCCTGGACTGAGGGCCAAAGGTGACATTGGCATGGGCACTGGGGTCATAGGATGTTGCGGCATGGGCACATCCACATACTGGCCTGTTTCAGGGTCGAAGAGACGCTTGGTGGTCGGCAGCACGGGAGTGTCCACCAAGTAGTAGTTTCCAGTGGTGGGGTCCAGGAGCATCTTCCTCTGGGTGGCCTGGTAGGGGTCCATGGTGGGAGCAGGGGTGATTGCCGGGGAGAAACAGTACACCTGAGGCTGATTGGTGGACATGCCCAACGGCAAGGAGTGGTAGATGGTGGCAGGAGGGATCTCTGGTGAGTGTGTCTCCATCACAATGCTGGAGCGTTTAGGGGACTGGTTATGGTCTTCCCGGCTCCTGAAGCTGGGTCCAAACTGTGCTGAAGGAGTGGCTGGGTGTGTCTGGGGGGTAAAGGTGTACACTGGTGTTTTATCAGCAGATGAGGCTTGTTGGTTGCTGCTGGCGTGAGACTTGACCGGAAGGGTAAGGTAGTTCTCGTTGTCAGCTGAGGTGCTCCAGAGCTCCTGCATGGACCTCTCTAGCTCCTTTGATTCAGCTCCCTCATGTGCACTTAGCTTTGTATGATTGATTTTTAAGGATGCTGGCAATTTTGGGGACTTTGGGACGAAGCTTTTGGTGCTGAAGGGTGTTTGTGTGACAGTGTTTGGCTGGGGCGTCCTTGCGGAGGCCTTCACGCTAGAGCTGATGTTGAACATGTTTTTGTTCCCTGTGGTGCTGGTGGTTTGCACTGACTTAGCAACCAGCCTTTCATCACGGCTGCCGGCAGTCTGAAAGAGCTTGTCCTCTCGCCTCAGCAGGCTGTCAGTGCCGGGGGACGCTGCTACTGCTGGTGGCATCTTGTCAACAATGGACCCTCTCGCTCCTTCCTCCTCAGGTTCTGCGTGCTGCTCGCTGGTTATCAGTGAGAGCACGTGGCTGTCTGTCAGCGGCTGGGGCTCATTCTTCCTTTTCCATTCATTTCTTTCAAATATATAGAGCTGCTCCATGGTTTTCACAGCAGCCTGGAGTTTTTCCAAAGCCCCCTGGTTTGCCATCTTTGATTCTGGTTTCTTATCTGTGATGTCTGACATTTTTTCCTGCCTCTTTGAAGCTATTCTGCTTTCACTTCTTAATCCACTGTCTCCTTCTGAGGAATTATTTGAGTTACCTATGGGTGCTTTGTCTGTTGCCCTTTGCAATGGAGTGCTTTTGGCGCCCTCTGGAGATGATCTGTCTGTGTCAAACGACTCCGGTTTAGATAACTCCATAGGATTTCCAGATTGTTTACCGTTACTATTTGTATTCACAGACTGACATTTGATCACTATAGGGGACACAGAGTTAGGATTTCGATTGGGCATTTGCTTCTTTTGCTCTGAATAGTTGTCAGCAGAGGCAAAGATGGATTTATTTTCGTTGTTATCCAAAGACACAAAGTGATACGAACTTTTAACCAATTTACGCACGTCTCTCACTTGGTGTATGGGCGTCTGCAGTTTTCCTTTATTATCTCTAATGTCTCTAACCATGAAATGCGGCACTTTATCTGAGCACTCACCCTTCAGAGCTGCAGCCAGGGCCTGGCATTTGAAGTCATCGGTTCTGATGAGGCTGGATGTGTTACAGCCTATATTAGGAGCGCGCAGTTTGGAGACGCCAAAAGCCTCTGTTTTATTGTCTCTGACACTGCGTAAATTAATTTTAATTTCCGGAGATTTAGATGTAGCCACGCTCCTGGAGTCTGCGATGTATAAAGTGTTGTCAGAGCGCAGTTGTATCCCTCCTCCGTCTCCACATGGAGAATAATTCCTGTTCTGCAGCTGCTGTCCGACCTCTCCGTCACTGGGCAGCAGTTGGATACTTGGCACAAACAAATGTGACATTTTAGTCAAATTGCCGCTGCACGATGAGTACTGATCCCCCTCGCCCTTCTTTGTCGTTAGCTGAAAGCGGCTTCTCCTCTGGAGTTTGATCGTTTTTATGATCCTTTTGAAACTCTAGCTCCCCGTCCTTCCAGCATCTGAATGCGCTATTTTGGCTGCGAAGCAGCGTGCTTTTAGACGCTTCCAATGTGCCCTTTTTAGTATCGATTCCAGCTTCATTTGCCGGTTCCAAATTAGTTTCTGGTGCGGGAGCGGCCGTGTCTTGTCTCCGAGTATCGCTCTTGGTATCACATGAGCCGCTGTCCACAATGTCCCCTAATTCATCCAAGCACATTATAGCATAGTCAGAGCTGCTCTCGGAAAACTTGGAGCTCTGTCTGTGCAGCTCCCTGCTCCCCTTCCCCCTGTCGCTCTCCTGGTGCAGAAGGCACGGAGAAGGCGTTTGATGCGGCTCACTTATCTCCCCTCGTTCCATCTTGCGCTCCTGCTCGAACTGCATCTTCTTAGAAATCACATTTTTGATCAGGCTCGAGGCGAATATGGCTTTCTTGTGTGTGTCTTCCATGGTTTTAGAGGGCGGCTGGCTGGCCCCTCTCCTCTGGTCGCTTGGCAAACTGTTGGTAACTTCATCCGTGGAACGTGATCCTGCTGCGTTTTGTGCAAAGTTAGTGCGTCTTTCTCCCTCAGACATCCCTGATTTTACATTGCAACGAAAATTCAGAGTCTCTGTGAGTCTGATCACCCCACTGTGACCTTGACTGAATTTCCCCATCAACTCTATTTTATTTGTAGATGATGATGCGCCGTGGGGATTGCCACTCAGAGTGAAGATCTTGCTGGTGGGCGGTTTGATGCTTGCCAGTGCAATGCCCTTATAACCTCTATTGTCTACATTTTTGGCGATTTCAAATGATGCCGTTGAGTTTTGATGGGAAACA